CCCGGCGCCCCGACCTGCTCGGTGCTGGGTGCCCAGCCGGGAGAGGTTGCTCTTCCATTTCCCGGGCCTTCCTCCTCCTCCTCCAAGGAGGCTCGTACTCTCTTCCTCCTCCACCTCCACCTCCTCTTGCTGTTGCTGCTGCTGTAGCGCTTGGGCTCCGAGGGCTGTGAGCAGAAATCTAATGAGATCTAACTGGCTGTTTATGTAATTCTTCACACTCCTGCCTGTCTTAAGGCGTTGCTTTGTAACTACCTTCCACCGAGCCTGAATTTTGCTCGGCTGCACCTTCAAGCAATTGGGCTTAATCAGCTGCCTCTGCCGGCACTCAGGCTTTTGACTTGGAAAGTGTTTGTAGTTTGGGGGCAGCCAGGGATTCTTTTTCCCTTTGTTACCACGAATATGGAAAATAGAACAGACGAATTAAAACCAACTTGATTTTTAAACGTCCTTTTAAATCAACTTCAGTGTGCAAATAGATCCCTTTCGCAAATATCTTCTGTTTGTCCTTGATCTTTTCTTATCCCCACCCAGTGCTGATCCAGCAAACGTTTAAAGGTCGACCTTACCATACTTGCTTCTCCGGCTGTTACCGTGAGAGGGAGGGAGGGAGGAAGGGAGGACGGACGGAGGTTTTTAAAAATCAGACTAAAACTCAGAAACCCTGGCCTTTAAACAGAATAATCAATAGTTTTAATTTGTGTCGTTGCTTTTGTTATACTTGCTACCTAATAGGTATTTTCAGATTTAGAAAAATACACCTTGAAAACAAAAGACCCAGAGAAGCTGGATTTTGTTATATTGTGTGCTCCTTATATACTTAAGGCCGAAACTATATAGAATAATTTGGTTCATAATTATTCACTAGGATGAAATTCATTTAGTACTCAGTGTCTTTAATTTTAGCATCATGTACTATGGAAATTAAAATGATTTTCCTAACTTACCAGATTTTTAAATGTCAATGACAGAGCAGATTTAAATAGTATATGTCCAAAGTAAACTAAAACGTGGATTCACTTCTAAGTTGGTGAATAACAATAAAAATTACTACCTAAAAGTGGCATCTCTATATATGGGGGTGGGGGGAGGATGCTGAGTACAATAAATATTCTTGTGAGAATTGAGGGGAGAAGAATACATGTTCTAGTGATATTTCTTCTTAGAACTCTATTCAGAAACAGGCTTTTAAAAACATTATTTCATCTGTAAATCTACATTTTCCTGTGTGATTTTAAACTTTAATCAACAATTTTCTATTTTATATTTTGTACTATTTACAGTTTCCAGGCTTTCTGTCCTAGTAGACATTTTCTTCTTCTTTTTATCCTTAGCAAACTAACACTGGATATTAGACATTTTTTAAGGTGAAATTACTTTGTGGGGGGAAAGGTCGTGGGACTTATATTACCTTTATCTTATTTGGATATGTTTGCTTTTGTTTTGTTTTAAGGAACAAGATCACTCAAGGTGAAGGATAATCTACTAATACCAGCACTTTGAATGAAAATTTGTTTCTCTGCCACAAACTGAACATTTTTTTTTTTTTTTTTTTTTTGGTGGGGGAGTTGAAACCTAATTTTGTGGCGTAGCAGCTATGCAGCTTGAAATCCAAGTAGCACTAAATTTTATTATTTCATATTTGTACAATAAGCTTCCCAGGAGACGTGTCAACATTTTTGGTGAAGAACTTGAAAGACTTCTTAAGAAGAAATATGAAGGGCACTGGTATCCTGAAAAGCCATACAAAGGATCGGGGTTTAGATGTATACACATAGGGGAGAAAGTGGACCCAGTGATTGAACAAGCATCCAAAGAGAGTGGTTTGGACATTGATGATGTTCGTGGCAATCTGCCACAGGATCTTAGTGTTTGGATCGACCCATTTGAGGTTTCTTACCAAATTGGTGAAAAGGGACCAGTGAAGGTGCTTTACGTGGATGATAATAATGAAAATGGATGTGAGTTGGATAAGGAGATCAAAAACAGCTTTAACCCAGAGGCCCAGGTTTTTATGCCCATAAGTGACCCAGCCTCATCAGTGTCCAGCTCTCCATCGCCTCCTTTTGGTCACTCTGCTGCTGTAAGCCCTACCTTCATGCCCAGGTCCACTCAGCCTTTAACCTTTACCACTGCCACTTTTGCTGCCACCAAGTTCGGCTCTACCAAAATGAAGAATAGCGGCCGTAGCAACAAGGTTGCACGTACTTCTCCTATCAACCTCGGCTTGAATGTGAATGACCTCTTGAAGCAGAAAGCCATCTCTTCCTCAATGCACTCTCTGTATGGGCTTGGCTTGGGTAGCCAGCAGCAGCCACAGCAACAGCAGCAGCCAGCCCAGCCGCCACCGCCACCGCCACCACCACAGCAGCAACAACAGCAGAAAACCTCTGCTCTTTCTCCTAATGCCAAGGAATTTATTTTTCCTAATATGCAGGGTCAAGGTAGTAGTACCAATGGAATGTTCCCAGGTGACAGCCCCCTTAACCTCAGTCCTCTCCAGTACAGTAATGCCTTTGATGTGTTTGCGGCCTATGGAGGCCTCAATGAGAAGTCTTTTGTAGATGGCTTGAATTTTAGCTTAAATAACATGCAGTATTCTAACCAGCAATTCCAGCCTGTTATGGCTAACTAAAAAAAAGAAAATGTATCGTACAAGTTAAAATGCACGGGCCCAAGGGGGATTTTGTTTTTTTTTTTAACCTCCTTGAGAATTTTTTTTTTAAGCTTATAGTAAGGATACATTCAAGCTTGGTTAAAAAATAATAATAATAAAACATGCATCATTTTTCATTTGCCAACCAAGCACAAAGTTATTTTATACTGACTGTATATTTTAAAGTATACTCTCAGATATGGCCTCTTACAGTATTTAAGATATAGCAAGGACATGGCTGATTTTTTTTTTATAAAAATTGGCACTAATAAGTGGGTTTATTGGTCTTTTCTAATTGTATAATTTAATTTAGTACAAAGTTTGTAAAATATCAGAGGATATATATATATTGTTTCTACGACATGGTATTGCATTTATATCTTTTTACTACAGTGATCTGTGACAGCAGCAGCTTCATGTTGTATTTTTTTTACTGAAATTGTACAATATCCATCTTAAAGACATCAACTATTCTAAAAATTGTGTACAGGATATTCCTTTAGTGGTGGAATTAAAATGTACGAATATTTGCTTTTTTCAAAAAAATGTATTTTCTGTTAAAAGTTTAAAGATTTTTGCTATATATTATGGAAGAAAAATGTAATCGTAAATATTAATTTTGTACCTATATTGTGCAATACTTGAAAAAAAGGTATAAAAAAGTATTTTGAGTCAGTGTCTTACATGTTAAGAGGGACTGAAATAGTTTATATTAAGTTTGTATTAAAATTCTTTAAAATTAAAAACGCCTCTTGTGGTCTTTGTTTTTAAGTGTTTTCTAAAGATCGACCTCTGGAGTTATTCCATTGTAAATGCTAATGATGGAAAAAGGCCTGACTCATGGAGTCAGGAAGGAATAATGGAAAGCAGTTGCTCTACTAATGCACCAGATCGTGGTTTGCCACATAAAAAATGCTGTCAAAACTATAGCCTGACCAGTGCTTGGGACAACTTTATTTTTTTTTAACAGCCTTCTTCAGCCCACATTTGTCTACCCCATGATAGAGATGGTATGGTAAGGTTAGCTATACAGCAAGTTTCAAAATGTCATGCTGACATGGGGGAGTCAGGTGATAAGATGAAATTTCTTCGTGTAATCTGAGATGATTTGTTTGAAATTTATATGGAGAGAGCATTGGATCAGTTTTCTGTTTTTGCTCAGACAAAGTGGCTGACTGAACTTTAAAAAAAATTTACATCAGTTTACTAATCTTTAAAGTTTAGCCATTGCACGTCGCTAGAGAACTTAAGGTCAAAATCTATTCACAGTTGGACAGATTGTTAGATGTTAGGATTTTCATTTTCCCAGCAAAAACGCTTATGTATTTAATTTTTTTGTGAGTGGATATCCAGCCTGCTGGTTTGAAGGATTTAGAGAGATTGACATTGTATCAAATTGGAGAGACTTGGTAAGGATGGAATTTTTTAAAACTGAAGAGTTGGAAGACCACTAAAGTTAAATGAGTCATTTCACTAAATGTCAATCGATACAGTATTGACATAGTATTGGTGAGAAAAGTTAAAAATGTCCGTTGACACAGTATTGGTGAGAAAGCTGTCTTAAAAAACTTTATATGTACTTTTATAGTAAGAAACCAGCACTGCCTGGGTTACCAGTGAAATAAATTTGGTCTCATGAGCTTTTTGGACACCAGTCTACAAAAGCCTTTTGTCATTTACCCATGCAGTGTAGAGCAATAAAAGGTTTTAAGGAAACCAGCACTGGAAATAACAGAGCTAAGCTGTTTGTCAGCTCCATGGTGAGGCTTTTGTTCTTTAGTGGACAGAATGAGGCTATGAAGAAGTATTGGAATACTGGGTGCAAGCAGCAGAGATCTGGTCTGCCAACACCACTTACATGCTTTTGTGATCACGAAGTTTGAATAGCTGTAAGAACAATCAGGGTAATGGCTTTAAGCACTAGTTTCTGCTACAGACTTTGATAAAGTTACAGACTTGGGAGAAAACTCTGCTTATAAATGAAGAAAGGCTCAAGTATAATGTGCTTTTTCTGAAAATCATAAGGCAGCTGGACAGTACATAAACAATAGAATTTTTTTTTTTTTTTTGAGATGGAGTCTTGCTCTGTCACCCAGGCTGGAGTGCAGTGGCACCATCTCGGCTCACTGCAACCTCCACCTCCCGGGTTCAAGTGATTCTCCTGCTTCAGCCTCCCGAGTAGCTGAGACTACAGGTGCCTGCCACCACGCCGGCTAATTTTTGTATTTTTAGTAGAGACAGGGTTTCACCATGTTGACCAGGCTGGTCTCGAACTCCTGACCTCAAGTGATCCCCTGCCTCAGCCTCCCAAAGTGCTGGGATTACAGGCGTGAGCCAATGCATCCGGCGAGGACTTCATAATTTTTTAAAAAATGAACAAGGGCCCTGTTTTCATGCCCTTTTTGTTCATTAGGAATGGGAATTTTTTAAAAGGTGCTTTTGTCTAGCACATCTGAGAAAAGCTTACATCTTAGTTCCAAGTCATTTTCTCCCCATGGTGCTATCACGCTTTTGACTCTGTGTGGAGACTGTTTCGGTTGACAATTTGATGAATTCATTATTTTCATAGGCCTTTCCCATTTTTTTGATTCCTATAACTACAGATACTGTAGCAGCCTCTGAGTACCCTCAGTGTCCAAAATGTTGCCTTACAGATTTCATAGCACATGGATGAGTAAGGAATATTATACCAAAAAAATGGCTTTCTAAGTTTAGTGTATTCCTTCTCTGCCCTGCCTTGTCTTTTCTGAAATCAGGTACATTGTGAAATCTCCTTTTTGCCTATAATAGATGGCAAATGTAAATATAGGCCTTCTTCAAAATGCCTCCTTAAATATAACAATATATACTGTGATTAACTTAGGTTTTAAAGGTGAAACTAAAGGTACTCTGAGTTTAAAATGTTTTTCCAGGGCAGGTGCTGTGGCTCATACCTGTAATCCCAGCACTTTGGGAGGCTGAGGCAGGTGGATCACTTGAGGTCAGGAGTTTGAGACCAGCCTGGCCAACATGATGAAACCCATCTCTACTAAAAACACAAAATTAGCCAGTGTGGTGGCGTGCACCTATAGTCCCAGCTACAGGCTGGGAGGGTGAGGCAGGAGAATCGCATGAACCCAGAGGCGGAGGTTGCAGTGAGCCAAGAGTGCGCCATTACCTTCCAACCTGGGTGACAACAGCCAAACTCAGTCTCAAAAAAAATAAAATAATGGTTTTCCAATTGGGTGTAAATCCCATTCCCATATACATGTCTTAGGTACTGGCATTTTAATTGAGAGACTTAACAAATCTTCAGGACTTTGATTATTTTAAAATAAGTCACTGTAACACAGAAAGAAACAAAGTATGTCTCATTGGACATACTTAAGCTAATGAAGTAAAATGCCAGTTGGTAACCTTCCTTTATATCCTTTCCCTACACAAACAGAAAATAGCATAGGCATGGAACATCAGATATGTATCCTTGCTTGACTGGAAATGCATGTTTTTGTCAGATGCTGGGTAACAACTCTAGTGCAAGAACAGATACAAGGAAAACAGAAGACAAGTATGTAAAATGGTCACTGCTGAATAAAACCCATTGCGTTGTTAAGTGTATCAATCGGTTGATGCTTAATCAGTTTGGCCCAGGAGGTCATTTGAGATCAGAGTGCTTTAGTTTTTATGGTATATTAGGAAGATTACATCTTGTTGTTGAAAGGATTTAGGATCAATTATCTGTGGGCATACAATTGGAAAATTAGCACATTTTCCAATTGCATGCCCAGTTTGAAGCCATTTTTGAGTGGCTTATGTAAACATGTAGTTGGAGCCATTTTTTTTTTTTTAATCTTTTAAATCAGGAAATAAACATATAGCACTTACTATGTGTCAAGTGTAGTTCTAACCCAGTTTACAGACTGGGTTGGGGGCAGAGGGGTGGGACTGAGGCACAGAAAGCTTCACTGACCCAAGATTGCATGGCCAATACATGGCGAACTTGGCGATTCAAACTCAGGTAGTGAGTTCCAGAGTTCATGCTCCTAAGCACTATGCTTTGTTCCCTCAGATTAGTTGTTATTCTGATTTGAAGTCAGGGTAATAGCACCATTTTTGATGTATTAGCTATGTAATTTGCAGAATCTTTACAAAAGTGTTAATGAGAAGGGTCTAGTGGAAGGCTGTTAACCATGCTCAGAATATGCCATGATGATGTTTTGAGTGAGACTTTGTATTTCCATTGGTTATAAACTGAACTTAGAGGCAATAGGGAAATGTTTTTAGAAATCATTGTTATATCAATGCTCTAGTTTTTTTTTTTCTTTTCTTTTCTTTTTTTTTTTTTTTTGAGATGGAGTCTAGCTGTGTTGCCCAGGCTGGAGTGCAGTGGCGTGATCTTGGCTCACTGCAACCTCCACCTTCCAGGTTCAAGTGATTCTCCTGTCTCAGCCTCCTGAGTACCCGGCTAATTTTTGTATTTTTAATAGAGACAGGGTTTCACTATGTTGGCCAGGCTGGTCTCAAACTCCTGACCTCAGGTGATCTGCCCGCCTCGGCCTCCCAAAGTGCTGGGATTACAGGCGTGAGTCACTGCACCCAGCAATGCTCTAGTTTTGTTGGTTTTCATAATTCAGTCATATAAATTACATCTCTTTTCAGAACCACTGGATGATTCCCTGACTGTAGATTTAGTGGCCGGTTACAAGTAAAGTTGTAACCGTTAACCTCCTGTGGCTATTTTCACAACCATTCCTTGTCTGTGCTTATTGATAAACACTCTAAAGCAAGGCCAAGTGACCTACCTTCAAACAATGTGTTTCTAGTACCTATGATTTGTTTTTAAATTACTTTGAAAAGCTACCTTAAGGATTTCTGTACATATAAATATTGTGATTCATGGTCTTTTTACTTTTATTTCAAAACATTAAAAACTTTTTTTTTAAATTATAGTTTTTAAAGTAGATTTGGGGTCTCACTATGTTGCCCAGGCTGATTTTGAACTCTCCCAGGCTCAAGTGATCCACCCACCGTGGCCTCCCAAAGTGCTGGAATTACAGGCGTGAGCTATCATGACCAGCCAGTTTTAAAACATTAAAGAAACAAATTGACTTCTCATTTCAAACTCATTCTGAAAGCCTTTCTTGAAAAAGAAAACCAATTTGGTTTAAAATAAAAAGTCACATTTTAGAAGCATGAGCTGTTGTGGACAAGCTTACATACCTTTGATTGTTGCTATTAGTTTTGAACATGTTTGCACAGTAAAGAGAAAAGCCCATTTTAAAAATGGCTCAGGAGAACTTCTGTAGTTTTTATGTGGATTAAATCCTGTTATACTAAATACTACTTACATTGTTGGGTTAGTTGGTGTTTGACTGGAGCAAATATGGCTGACACCTTAAGTGAGCTTTAGGTGGTTTAGATTGGGCTGAAAGTCTTATTAATGGAATTTGACTTGTAAGTAGTAATAGTAAAACCTATATTAACCATTTCTCCGTATTTGAGTTTTAAGATTTTATATCTTAGAGGACTTGGTTTGTATATATAGTCTGTTAGTGAGAACTTTGAGATTATCTCACAACTAGGCAAGCCTCAGATGAAACCATTTAATCAAGAGGCTGTCCCTGTCTAGTGGCTAACTGAAACTATGGGTCTAAATTCCTTGCTTAATTGTATTAAGTCATTTGATTCAGATGGCTCAGTTTATTCATCTGCAAAATGAGTACAGTGATACCAATATGCTTCCTTGAGGAGCTATGAGAACTAATCA